GTCTATGGTTATGGCAAAAAAAAAAAGCGGTAACCTGGTTGCCGAGTTCACGAAGTGAATTGGCTTGTTTTACAACGTCGTTGCCAAGCGACGAAAACCCACGACCCCGATGGCAAACACCGGGGGGGAGGTGCCGGGGGGGGAAGTTTTTAATCACTACAGAAGTAGACCGGAGATGAAAGGAACTTACAAGGGGGACACCAAACGAAGGCGACAAGACGCTGCTGTTACCCTATCCGCACTATATATGAGGATCTATTTGCAACAGATGTACGAACAAGCAACAGGTGGCTCAGAGGTCGCCGTGTGAACGGATTGAGGAAAAAAAAACTACACACACAGAATGCTAAGACTGACGGAAAAAACAAATCGAACGGACATCAGTGGCAAGTGGCAACCAGTTGTGATCCGAGACAGCGGAGGTGAGTGTTCAAACCTTGAAAACCCCGCATCATGATCTAGCACGGCGGGGCCTTCCTGGACGCCCAGCGCATGTAGACTCAAAAGCGCGGCTGCAGCGACGCTCTCCTTGTCCCCGCCTGCAGCGGCTTTGCCGTTCCTCAGCGAAGTCCTCCTCCCATCACCTGCTTCACCGGGGGCTTACCTCCGAGCGCGGACCGCGAGGCGCCCGCGGACCGCATGCAGCTGCGAGTAGGGCCGCGTGCGGGAGGGCGATGAGGCAGACCTTGTGGTTTGGTTGAGAGGATGCTCCTGCCTTTTTGGCCGCCGCTCGCTTGACCTTCGTCACCGCGCCCGATCCAGACGCCACAGCAACCCTGCCCTTCCGCGACGAGTTCGCCGCCCTGCCGCCCTTGTCTCCTTCGTGGTGGTGGGTTCCTCTGTGGCCCGCCTTGCCATGGTCCTCCTATGGCCAGCCCAAATGGTATGTGTTGTTGTTGTTGTTGTTGTTGTTGTTGTTGTTGTTGTTTCTCACATTAGCTCTAAAGTCCACAAAAAATGGGGAGAACGTGGTCTCAAAACCCGGCACGTACGACGCCGCGGGGAAACACAAAAATAGGGTACAAACCACTCGGAATATTAACGCCGCACATGCCCCCATACATCACACACAAAAACTAAGTTGATGACGAAAACATACACACCCCGAGACGTGCTTGCTCCGCAACCACATAAGGGTGCTATAACAGAACACCCGACAAACCGAGTTCCCCTACAAATCTTCCGTCTACAACTTCCCAACAAAACATACAGATAGATACACAAGATGGCCACCAAACTGCCTTGTTGAGCCTGTTACCCACAGGGGAGATATCGTTGTATGCTGTCTGGGAAACAGTAAACATACAGGCAGCCTTTCGCTCACGCTATGGATTCGTTGCTAATCTATCGTAGACTTATTTCTACAGATAGGGATGGACTTGTTGTGAGTTTTAAGAAAAAAAAAAAAAATGATACAAGAAAACAACAGGTATCGCACCGACCGTTCGAGAAAAGAGCCTGCCTCGGAAACCGATCAATATAAAAAAATACAAAAATAAAGGAGGACGCTTCCCACACCCGCCTAAAGAAAAATCAAAGAGGAACGTACCAGCTGTATGACCTACGTGTGTGGCGGACCTTTTTTCCACGTTTCTTTCTTCCAGAACCAAGGCGAGGCGGTGAAACGTGGAAAGAAGGAATTCGGAAACTCGGAAAGCGAAAAAAAAAGACAGTGATGATGAAGGCAGTTTTTTTTTTTTCTTAAGATCACGCAACAAATCTAAAACGGATGGAGAGGCTAGGGATAGGGGCTGGCCCGATGTCTGTGTGGGTCTGTGTGGTCTCTAACCATTCAAGTGACAGGACCCTGCGTGTCAAGAGAAATTGTTCACAGAGGATTGTACATGGGACCCCAGCCTACAAGCACTGCTACCGACCTGATGTAGCTGCCTCTCGATCGGTACCGAGTTCGGTAGATGAGCCGGAACAGCGGTGGAAGAGAGCCTCGAAGGTGGCTTGTGACAAGGAGTGCAAGGTCTCCGGTTGTGGATACGGTATTCGCTTGTTGATTACTGCTAACTCAGGGCAAGCAAGGAGAAGTAGTATGGAGAAGTCAAGTCAAGGCAAGGGGACTGAGCAACCCTAGCAACTACACGGGGCCCGGCAAATCGGGCCTTACTGCTAGTACCTGTGTGGAATAACGCATTCTCCCAAAGGTGCAACTCCTATCAACCGTAATAACGATAGATTAGCAATGGGTCCATAGCGTTTCTTTCTCGGGTCGATGTCGCTTGCGGTCTTGCTGTTGGTACACAGCACGTACACACGCACCTACACACGCCTGATGGGGTGGAAATGCTGACTACCCATCCTGAGCATAGCAGCAAGACAGAGACTGGAGATACTGCTGTGCCGGGCTCAGGAAAGGAGGGCTAAGGCACGAGAACAGCGATCGGATCTTCCGTCAGGACGATAAATTCCAGGTTGGCGATCTGGACATCTGGACGGTTTCTTGTGTGAAAAGCACTGGAGGAATCCTCTAAGCCCCAAACCAAGCACTTCAAGCAAGCACTTCAAGGTGCTTCTTCTCTCCACAAGACGTGGTGTTTGCGGTGTTTCCTGCAATGATGGGCCGCTACCAAACGCTGCTCCCGACGAAGAGCTCTGATAAGGTGGGCAACACCTGCATTCCTACACATCTATTTGCTACGCGTCTTGCATACCATATCAGTATTTTCCCAGCTAGTTCTTCTTTCCTTATAGTGTGGGACTTACCAGTGGCATCACCTTCCACGAGTGGTTGGTGTTGCCACTCCGTCGCGAATAGGAACGATCAATCACTTCAATCTTTCTTTGGGTGAGTTCGATTTGTAGTGATCGATCTTCCATATACTCGACGCAGTAGTAATTTGTCGGAAAGAATACCTACCTTAGGCTCTATACTGCTCTCAGGGTGGGAGGGTGGTGACTTCCACGAAAACCTCCCTTGTCTCCTGTTTTCCGTGGCGACTCTTGTTTTATTTGGAGAGTGAAAGACCTCACCTTGCTTATCGTAATACTGCCTCTTTCCTTGAGGAACGTTCTGCGAAAACTTTAACCTTTCTCGACTCTTCCTTTCCGAATACATCAGTATTTTCCCAGGTAGTTCTTCTTTCCTTATAGTGTGGGATTTACCAGTGGCATCACCTTCCACGGGTTGGTGTATGCCATCCTCCAAAACTCTTGTTCATCCCACACTATCTCAGGTATGACGCGTTTTTTTTTTTTTCACAACATCGGTGATCTACCAAACGCCGCTAAATGTCGGCTCTGCTCACTCAAAGACAACTCGTTAAGTTCTCTGTACTGCTGTGCCTCGGTTACTCCTTGAACCATGCCTTCTTCCCCGGAGCCTGGTGCCACTACCTCCATCAACCGCATGTACCTCCATGCTGTTTTGGGGTTTTTCCAGTGTACCTTCTGCATAATTGACGAGAGAGAATCTCCTGCTAATGCTCGTGAAATCGCTCCCCCCGACCGAAACGAATGCAAAGAGAAATCTTGTCGCTCCCCTGCTCGTTAAGCATACATCTTCAGCGCAGCTGACATATTTTGTGTCGTGACCGAGTTCGACTCTCTGACGGGTTTTCCATGCTTGATTTCCTTGCTAATAGGGGGAAACAAATACCCTTCCGTCATGTCCCATCCAACGCACATTGCTATCTGGACCAGCTGTTCCACTGCTCGTACTGGACATTTAGCTACTGCCACCTCGTCATACGGGATAGTCAAAATATGGTCTGCTCCATCTCTCTGCGTCTTCCCCCATTGGAAGTTGAACATAAGCCCACTTTGGTTCGGCAAACGCAATATGCGTTGTACCAAGGTGTTCGTCGATTCCGCTCCTCGCTTCGTCGTGCTAAACGCTACTGTGAAAAACGCGATATCCCGAGCTAAGGTAACCCGTTCATGCGGAGACGACGTATTTCTCAACTTAGCTTGCATCGGTGCTAGGATCGTGATCAGATGACTACTCAACAGTGCAGGCGCTTGCTTAACCGAGACCCCTGCTCTCTTTTGCTGTTACGTCTTAAACGCCATGTACTGTGTATCGAGATCACTTCTCACCGGGTTTCCCGTCTTGAGTACGGTATTCCAATCTCCTGTCACTCCTAATTCCTTCTCGAAGACCGTAGCCAGTTTTGATACGTGGTTCGTCCGCATAGATTCATGAGCGTATCTACGATTGCATTCTCCTTTTGCTGTGGAACATCGTTCCAAATCCGACGTGCCTATCGCTTCACAGTGACGCGCGTGTACCACCGTCCGTCGTCTCGTTCCACACGTGTCCAACCAACACAAGTATTGAACCACATCTTCTGGGCATGCTTCTTCAGTACTAACTAGCCTTTCCTCTCGGGATACCATAAATTTTTCAAATTGTGTGCTAGCTGCGGTTCTGCTTCTTTGTGACACTTCCCACATTTTCTTCAACTCTGAAAACTTCTTCATGATGGCTTGCTCATCCACTATCAGAAGTGGATTGCGCTGTTGCGTGTCCAGCCTGACTCGCCCTACTCCACACCATTGGCAGAAAGAGAACCGGTCATCATTCTCCCCCAGACACGCTGAGCATAACACTCGGGCTCGAACTGGTGACACTGTGATGAGAGGTCTCCTATCGTCTGACGGCTCCTCGTTGGAGCCAATTGCTGTCCTCAGCAACGCTCCGATGACGCTCAATGCAAGCATGAGGGCTGTGCGCATCGCCCACAAAGCCTGACAACGACCATCCAAACATCAATGATTAAAATTGACCTCAACAACCCTCATCGCCCATCTTTTGAAACTAAATGACACTTTGCCCTTGTTGTGAATCATCCGGAAGAACACGTTTTCCTCCGCTTGACTCGCCAGCAGTTTCGACTTAACTGTGGACTCTTCGAGCATGGGATACCACGTGGTTCTCAAATCTGGCACGACTGCTACTCCTCTCGATCTACATTCTGCCATGCGTTGTAGGACCACTCCCACCATAGTCGTTGGCGGAAAACAAAACCCAAAGCACGGGTCATCTGATCCTGCGATCTTACTCAAATCCTGTCCTAAAACGTCGATTCCCTGGCATCCTTCCGTATGGAATCGTGAATAAAACGGGAGAGGCCTCGCGCATCCCGGGAGCCTGTGAACCGATGCCGGAGTTGCCATCCAGTCCATGTCGAAAGGTCTCTCTGCCCATCGGAAAATTTCCTCGAATTTTGTCCTTTCTAATCGCGCATACGCGTCTGCCTCCTGTCTAGACAAATCATCAGCTTCTGCATTCGCCTCGGACGATACCCATTGCAGCTTAAGCGTGAATTCCCGCTGGACTTGAAGCCAAAACAGGTCTGAGACAATCTCGTGCATCATGGTATTCTTAGCCTTGCCTCTTTTCATCGCGTGGAACAGGACCGTGTTAGCTACGTCTACAAAGATTGTCGTACCTTGCGCTTGCTTAGGCCTCTCCGCACAAAATAGCGTGAAAAGTTGCTGTAAAGCGTATGCCTCTTGCACATTAATGTGCGCCGTGACTCACTGTTCCGGGAAATCTCCTGCAGCTCGAAACACATCCACCCCTGGACATCGGATCAAACCTCCCCAACCGCTAGATGACGCATCCGAAGCCCCTGGAATGAGCCGCTGATGCACCGCTTCATGCCACGGTGCACCGTTCATCCTGTGTCGGACCTCTAACCACTTGTCCAACTCATATCTCAGGCCACTATTTGGGGCTATGACAACCTCGAAGTTCTTCCTTCGTCCTCCCTTGCGTTGAAACTCGCCAATCTGCTTGTGCATGTGGTGCGTATAAAGCTTGGCTGCCGGGCATGCGACTGACATGCTCGTACATTTTCCTGCCACTTTTTCTGATGTGGGGAAAGCAATAAAGCACTGTGAGATGGCTTCGTTGATGAGCGCTTCTAACTTGTCCAACTTGTCCTCTGGGATGGTAAAACGCTGTGCGACAGAGTCTGAACGTACCCCAAGGAAGAAAATACTCGTGGTGGGGCCTAGCTCGCACTTCGGAATCGACATAAAATAGCCTGCCTTGTACAACACGCTCATCACCGAGTAACCCGCTGCCCGCGCTGCCCTGAATTGCGTCGTCGTCGTAAGCGACATGGTCGATCTGAAGTTCGTGAAATAAAAATCGTCTATCCACGTCAACACCGGGAGACCTTTTCCACGCAAATATCCGGCCACCGCCTCTGATAGTGAGTGGTAGATGAACGGGGAGATTTTCCATCCAAAGCACAGCGTCGTAAAAACGTAGTATTCCCCTTTCCACTGGAAACCAAAATACTGCCAAGACTCCTTCGCGAGTGGTACGTTGTGTAAACCCGCCTTGTGGTCACACTTCATCTGAAAAGCTCCTTCCCACGCGCGTTGGGCTATCTTTCCCACCCCATCCATGGGGAACGGGCAATCTTTCATCATCAGGTTCAGGAATCTGGCATCAAACGTCAGCCTCGGTTTTGAAGACTCCACCCCCAATGGCATTACCATCCGCGGTTTTGGGTGAATCTCCGTATCGGCTACCTCCCTCCAAGGCGCTACTACCCCTGTTCGAACATAACCAGCAAACGTGTCCTCGACGAAAGGGTGGTGGTCTGTTGCGACGTGGTTGGGTAATTCCACCGGCGTGAGATTTGAGCCGTTGTACGGGTGTCCCTGGAAAACACCTGTAACAGTGTCATCCACAAACTCGTGAATATCCACACCTCTCAACCAACCCAAATACCTCTGTCGTTGGTCGTCCGGGCTTCCTGCAAGGATTTCCTGTCCCCAAAACTCTGCCGCTTGTGACACATGACCCGGGACAAAATCATCAACATCCCACGTGGGAGCATCTCCTGCGGTGATCGAAGGGTGTTCAGCTAACAGTGCATCTCTGTTGAGGTCGTCGGCTGGACGCTTACAGTGGTGCTCGCTGATTGCATTCCCGTTCACTGAGCGAGTGCGTATGTTCGCCGTCCAATTCGCTCGTTCCAGCAGGAAAACATCTGCTCCGGGACCGACCAGTGTCGTTCAATATAATTGAACAGCATTCGTTTTTTGCTTTTTTTTTCTCGTGATAAAGGTCGCCCGCGAGTTTTCGAATCCGGACTATCATTGACCATGGGAAACATGCTGGTCCGAACTACTAGGTCTGCGAGCTCCTCGCGCCCAGCCGCCGACCAAAGTCCCCATCAAGATTCAACGAGGTGCAGAGGTGACAGCTGATTGCTCATAGCAAGCTTACATTGCTATCTACGCCTATCCATGTGTATTTTAAGGGAACGAATCCCGGGTGACAATTGTTGTGACGTGATTTCCAAGACGGGAGAAGGAGAGATAGAGATTCCGTCGTCCACGCGTATCCCCAGACCGTGACTCAGCTTCACATCCTCGTGTACCGTGACCGGATGCACGTGCTCCATTTTTTTTTTTCAACCCTGATTAAGCAATCACGGCTCATATTTCTCGAGTGAAGCACCGTCTAACCAAGTTCTCGAACGGTCATTAAAACCAAACCGCAATCACGGCTACCCTCGCAAGCAATTCTTCCGCCGTCCTCGACCGTTCCTACGGGTTAGGGCAGTTTCGCTTGGTGTGCCCTTGCTTCTGGCAATGAAAGCATGTTGTGAACGGGCCTTCTGTATGCGGGTGCCGGATATCCGCTAATCTGACTGCTTGACACTTGCCGCAAAAAGGCAATGGCCTGGTGTGGCTGGAACCCCTACCGCTACCTCCACGGCCCCTCCCTCCGCGACCGTAATGGCCGGGGGCGCCGTATGGGCTCGCCCCCCGTCCGCCACCCTTATTAAAGCCTGGCGAACCTCTGCCACTCCTAGGCGGTTCAAAGAACGGGTTTGGCCCGGACATCGAGGGTTGTGGGGTATTAGCAAACCCGGCGGGGTCCATCGGAGGCATGGGCAACATCCCCATGGGCGCCCCCCCCCACGCCGCGTTGAAGGCTGGAGCCAACGACATGGGGTTGACCCCACTTCCTCTCAGCGGGGCATGCTTTGGCAAACCGACAACTCTCTTTAAGGTCGAGAACTCCTCATCCATTTTCTTATAGTCGACCTACTCCCCCTCATCGCAATCTTCGAGGAGCCTTTGCTGCAACCACAAGATACCCATCACTGCCTGGTTCGTCGCACTGGCCTTCTGAAGGCCTGTTTGCATGTAGAATAAGCGGGTTACCTCCTCATGGAGCGCCGGTCAAGTTTCGCCAGCCTCAAGGCTTCGCTTATTTCTCGTCTGCAATTCTGCAGCAGCATGTCCTGTGTGGCCACCGAGTAGTTGGCGGCCTGCTCCATTGATGGAATGAGGGTCGTGAGGTTTCCCATCCGTGATTGGAGCTGCAATAAAGCGGTGAACATAATAGGAGAAGGGGGGGAGGGGGTCGTGACCCGACACCACGCGAGAGCCGGGCGTGAGACGGTTAAAGTGACGCTGGAACATCACAGCCGTCATGAGCGATGATGGCCTGACGTCGTGACCTTCAACAGTGAGCCCCCCCAAGCCATGCTTTGTGATAATGGGCGTGACCTAGTGGAGCGGAGACTCCGCTACCCTTGTGACCAAGATACTCGAATTTCTCAGCGCCGTGTGATATGGGCTGGCTACACAAACTCCGTAACGCCACGTGATGCCGGTCTGAGGTTTCGTAACGCCAAACCGGCCACCGGTAGGCTCGTTTTGCGCCTTGTGATATAGGCCCGGGACGGTGACTCGCCATCTGGTAAACGTTCTCTGGGACGCCTTGTGAGATAGGCAGGGGACTTCCTGTGCCGTGACATCTGGCGCCTGTTCGCTGTGACACCTTGTGATATAGGCATGGAAACTGTAACGCGACCTCTGGTGAAAGCTCGCTGTGACGCCTTGTGATATAGGCATGGAAACTACTGTACCCCGACACCTGGTGAATGTTCGTTGTAACGCCTCGTGATCCAGGCCTAGAACTGTGACGCGACATCCGAGGAATGGTCGTTGTGACGCCTTGTGATACAGGCATAGAAATGTTGACGCGAGATCTGGCGAGTGTTCGCTGTGACGCCTCGTGACATAGGCATGGGACTATGACGCGACATCTGGTAAATGTTCGCTGGGACGCCTCGTGATGTATGTATGGAAATTTTGATGCAACATCTGGTTGATGTTGGCTGCGACGCCTTGTGATATAGGCCTGGAACTGTGACGCAACATGTGTTGAAATGTTCGCTGTGACGCCTCTATTTGGTGACCACGCTCGGGTAACACTGGGCGCATCAGTTGGCCGTGAGGTGACAAAGAACAGCAATACCTCTAGTCACGTTTCTGTCATGTACGGTGATGCATGATCGCCAGAACACAAAACCCCCCCAGCAATCCACCACTATATATGCAACATGGCCTCACATTTGGACCATCCGTAAACTCCACCGTAATTTCGGAATGCCAATCAACATTTTTTTTTTTGGGCTTGTCAGATCAGGGAACAGTATATATGTGGGGGGCGAGGATACGCGCGGGCGCCCTGGTCCCTACATGGGATGGTGGGTTGGGTGTCACAGTTCCCGCGGCCCACTGCCGCACGACGAACGAAATAGATGAAACCATGCTACTAGACGCCGACAACCCTACACATGGCGGGCGATATATCCGTTGCGGCGGAACATTTGCATGCATCTCAACAGCCCACAAAGCGGACACGGTGCTCGTGACCAGGCGTGGCGCTGCGTCACTCGGAAGACCCGGCGGCGTCGCCCGAACTGGGGCGTACTCCCAAGCAATCAGCAGTCATGGCATCACAGAAACCGCAATATCTCACGGGCCCACCCGTGAACATCAAGCAACGCTCAAACAAAAACTCGGCAAGCCCCTCCGTGCGAGCCATCCGTCGGGGTTGACCTCTCGAAGTCATCCGAAATGTAATTTTGTGTCAGAGGGCGGAATATTTTTGTTTTCCGAGATTTCGTGGGCTTGGGAGGGTAAGAGGGACGCTCGAAGCACGCGCGGCGGACGGCCACCTGCGACCGCGCTTGCCTGAGGGCTACTGCTGTAATAGGCTGGGCAAAGGGAATCTAGTAAAGGGTGGGCCCCCAAAGCATCCGCCCATTTCTCACCTGAGTGCCGATGGATACACTGGTCAGCAACTTCTTCTTCGCCGGCGCTTTTCCGCTTGTAGCCGCCGGCTGCTGCTTGTCCTCCCCCTCGATCGCCTGGAGAAGAGAAGCGAGGTCCGGCTCTAGTTCCTCCTCCCGCGCCCGCTTAGCGCTTGACACCACGCTCGACGCAGCCTGCGACCGGGTCTCGTCCCCCTCGTCGGCGCGTTGCGCCCGCGCGGGCGGCTGTGTTGGTGACGGGGAGTCCAGAAAGAAGACGGGGAGAATGAAGAGCGTCGCGGTGTGCAGCATCCCCGCTTTGGCAGGGCAGGTAAACAGGTACTTGGCGGTGGCGTCCACCAGAGCGTGCTTGGTGCGGAGAAGGATCTCCGCCTCGGATTCCTTAGCTGCGGTGCCGGCTAGGTGCTCTTGGTACATGATCCCCATCAGGAGGTCGGGCATCGACTCGTTGCAGAACATGCGGAATAAACCCGAGGACAGGCCTGGCAAATCTGCGCTTCTCAGATCTTCGCAGGTCCGCGACCTCGCCACGCACACCACCCGAGAGAGGTCGATCTCTGTCAGGCCTGTCGCCGGATCCTTGACGCAGGCGATATTCTCCCACGCCGAGAACAGGGCGCCCTCGGCAAAATGCCGCGCGCCGGCGAGGTGGGCCGGCTCCACCGGCTCGATGTAGTAGATGGTCATGGTGACGTGCAGCGTGTCCCCGGGAAACGGGAGAGAGGGTAGACAAGAGTGCCCCCCAGGCTCGAGACTTAAGGCAGGCGTATCCGGAGTGGACACGACGGGGCGCCGCTGACGAATGAGCTGACTTCCACGAAAGCCTCCCTTGTCTCCTGTTTTCCGTGGCAACGCTTGGTCTGTTTGGAGAGTGAAAGACCTCACCTTGCTTATCGTAATACTGCCTCTTTCCTTGAGGAACGTTCTGCGAAAACTTTCACCTTTCTCGACTCTTCCTTGCCGAATACTACGGTGGCAGTGGGAGATTTTTTTTTCTTTTTTTGGCGACAATATTTTTGAGCCTTAGTTACACTTTGATAGTAACTCTTTAGGACTAACCGATGTTAAACGTAGCATCACGCGAGCAAGGCTAGGTTGCTCACCCCACATCTACCCCAACCCTAACCCTAACCCTAACCCTCACCCACGGCCAAAGCACGGCAACTGGATGGCACGCGGCTGCGCCGCGTGCTCGGAATGCGGAACGGGGAGAGGGCGCTGGAGAGAAAAAGGCTGCCAGAACCAACGCCGAACAACGCCCGACCAATCAGAACGCGTTAGTCCTAAAGATCTACTATCAATGTGTAAACACTAATACAAGCTGGTTCAGGGAAATGGATACAACAAGGTTCAACAGCAAAACTTCACGCCGTTTTTAGGAGTTAGACTCTGAAACTTTGCACACATGTACCTTGGGTCATTACGAAACGCTGTATGGAGGGCCCATTTTTTTCTCCCCTGTCGACGGATATCCGGGGTCCTAGAGATTTCGGGGTCGTGTGCGGCTCCTGGGACCCCGAATAACCGGCGACCATGGAAGGAAATGAAAAAGGGCCCGCCGCACAGCGTTTCGTATTGACCCAAGGTATATGTGTGCAAAGTTTCATAGTCTAACTCATAAAAACGGCGTGAAGTTTTCAGCTCTTGTGCCATGAAGTATTTCGCATCCTGAATTTCCCCAAACTACTTGATTAATTATGAAACGGCGAAATTCAGGTTCTTTTGACGCCCAAACGACCCCATTTCATCAGTTTATCGAATTAGTTCATGAAAGTTCATAGAGACGGTCTTTGGAATATGTAGGTAAGGTAGAATCAAGAAAAAAAAAATCACACATTGGGACAGATTGTTGGGGTCCCGCAAAAGAGGCTATCTCCAACGCAGTTTGGCCCACCGACGGCAAGTCATGAATCGACCATTTTTCGACCGTATTAGGCCACTTTATGGGCGACGTCGACAAAACTCCATGCGAAGCTCCATTGCACTGTAACGGTGTCGTTGGTAAGAGAAAGAATCACAAACAGCCATGTTACCATCATGTTGGGGTCTGCAAGAGAATCTACCTACTTATTAGACGGAAACACCGACCGTGCTGCCCCGAAGAGAGATTTATTATCATCGCAGCGCGGCCTTGTGCCAGCTTAAGTGGGTGATAAAACACTGTTGATTCATGCACCGAGAACGCAAACATGCCAACATGCATGGACCGGTTTGCTGAGGGTCACACCGCTTGCAATACGGCAGCCCCTCTAAGCCAATGTTGGTGTCTGTGTTTATCTGTGGGTGAGGTATGCCCTTGTGTCGGTTGCTGCTGGACGCGACTTGTAAGAAGTTGGGCACCTTGTTTTTGAGACGGGTTGCATGTAGACAAGTTCGGGCCTGACTTGTACACAGTGTTCTCTTGTACAATTGCGTGCTGCTGCTGTATGCCCTGGTGCGTTCGTTCTGTAGAATAGACAGTTTGTAAACACAAGTTCGGATATGGCGTGTATAACCACTTTGCTTCTTGTACGTACACTTGCGTGCTGCTGAGCACTGCTGTGTTCTGTTAGAAGTACAAATTAGAGATGGGTTGTACAATACACTATGCTATTTTGTATCAATACAAGTAGTACTGCACTACTGCATGCTGTACAACTCGTCTGCTGTTCAAGATTGTCCGATGCAAACAACGGGATTCGTGTCGAGGTTCTCCAGTACATGCATACACATGGATGCTGTTGTACTGCAACTTGCCGTTTTTTCACACAGCTACACTTGTCGTGGAAAACACGCACCAACCATACGCATGAACGCCGGCTAGTGTTGTTGCACATGTCACCACCGTGCTAGCAACGCGCCCGCCTGGTTCCTACATTGCTGCATGTTTCAACCCACCACGGTGTACACACCCTGCCGCTTTGCTGCTGCTGCGGTTGTACAGCAGAAGCTACGTGCAGCAAGTTCCGCTCAGCAATCGTAGACTCACCGTGCTTGGGCGACAAGCCCCGCCTTCGCATGGGCTTCTCCAGCTCACTTGTCCAGTTGTCCGCGTCTCCGAACGCTTCCGCCTTCGTCTCATACTTGAAGGCGGTGTTCTTGCGAATGCCCGTGGCATCTGGCCGTGGCTGATACGTGCATCTGAGCTTCCAACGCTTCGTGTTGCTGCACTGCACTGCGCAAACTTGCGATACTTTGCGTTTGTGGGTGTCAACGTAGGGATCCACACTTTGTAGTGTGCTCCATTGTGGAGGGTCTCCTTGCGTACGAGACGCGTGTGCAGAGGTACTCAGCTGGTTGTACAGCAGCACCGGTGCAGCAGGAGCTGCGACAACGGCTGAGATTTGAGATTTTCAAAAAAAATGCGGTGTAATTATGTTTTTTGTCCCCGTTTTTGGAAAAGCCTGCATATCATCGAAATATTTGGAGGCTCCTCATTGGCTGAGGCACGTAATAGCCCACATCTTCCCAGCGAAGCCTTAAATAGAAATCACGGCCACGACAATTTGTTCCTTTGCTCGTGGGGGTCACTATAATACTGCGTTTGTCAACATTATGTACAAAATTCGTCTGGCAGGAGTGGTTGAATAAATTTTGGTCCATTTCCCTGAACCAGGCTGTACTCATATATTTTTCTCTCAAGCAGTTACTGTCAACAAATATTTTCGGACCGCTGGAAACAAGAACTACTGCCCAAAGTCTTTATATGCAATCTGCAGCACGGTAAGCAGACCTGCCACACATCAAATAAAAGACGGAAACCACAGCTTTCAAATGAGCCGGGCCTTGCTCTCATCAGACAACCACAAGGTACAGCAGTTGCCCGCGAATCTAGGGTACTTTTTCACTGTTTTTTTGTGTGGGCCTGAAATTTTTTTTTGGTACTATCGAATTAGCTGTGCATGTAGAACTTTTCGGAAACCCTATGATTTCGCGCACGCGCACATCAGACCAGCGTTGGACACAACGCAGCCGCTGTCGAGTACTGCACACTCGAAGAGGGGCCTCTCATCTATCGGCCGATGGCGAAGCCGAAGGGCAGGAGACAGCCAACTGGTGATGCAGTTGGACGCCCGTCCAAGTCGGACAAGAGAGCCAAGACAGCAGCAGCGAGAGGTTCGTTGGCCCAGAACAGACTCCAAGCTGAGCTCGAGCAGCAACGTGCAGCGCTGGCGGCGGACAGAGCAGAGATGGCGCAGAGGGAGCAAGCGCTCAGAGCGAAGGAGGCTGCGTTCGCCAAGAAGGAACAAGAAGTGGCGCGCGCCGCTGCACAGCGGGAAAAGCGTGAGCAGCAGGAGGTTGAGCGCGTCCAAGCAGCAGCTGCTGCCGGGGCGGAGAAGGTTGCTCAGGGCCTGGACTACATGGACTAATCTGTGCACGAGGTGAAGCCGAAGAAGGGCGAGCTCTGGACCCAGTTGTTGTCAAGGATGGTCCTCATGCTACTCTTCGACCTCCGCAAGGAAGTTTGCTCTGAGAACGAGGCGGTATTGCAGGTGAGTACACAGCAGTGAAGGTCGGATGGTGCGGCACAGCAGCAGATCGATGTCTTTTTTATGTTTCATCTTGATCAAAGAGGGGTAACGGTTGGTTTTTGAATGTACCCACTCCGGAATACGTCTGTAAACCCTATTTTTGCTGCTGTGTACAGCAGCCGTATGCTTATGTGCGGTGTGTGTGTTTCGTCGCATGCATGTTGGGCGCGAGCCTGTGCCGTTCGTGACATGTTTGACTCACCAGTCTACGTCACACAAATATTCAGCAGGAATACATTGTACTGCTGTACAGCAGTACTTCACAGCAGTACTTCACAGCAGACGAGCAAGCTTGGAATGTGCGATGCCTCACTGTACAATCTCCAAGTGAACTGACCTTATTCATGAACGATGTTGCAATATTTTCTCTTCTCTGGACCTCTCTATGCTGGCAGGTTGCGCGCACTTTCAGGATCGGCCACGACAAGGTCAGACGCATCAATAACCACTGGTGGGATCACCGCCGGTTGTACGAGACCACCGCCGCGGGGAGAGGCAAGACGGCAAAGAAGGATGATGGGCGACGCCGCCTCACCGAAGTACAAGAAGATCAACTTCGCGAGTTCATCAACGACGAGCACAAGGCCGGTCGTCAAGTCTTTCGCCGCACGGTGGCAGAATGGATGCACAGGACTTGCAACATGGAGCAGCCGTCCAACCGTTCGGCAGGAGGGCTGCTGAGTAGGCTCGGCTACAAGCGTCGTAGAGGCAGGATCAAAACGCCGCCGTTAAACGCCGAAAGACTTGCTCGCATTCGTCGGTTTCTTGTTGAGATGGACATGGCAAAGAGGGCAGAGGATGCTGGGTTAGCAGTGATCGTGTACATGGATGAGAGTTTTGTCCACCAGGCTCATGGTTCCTCCTATTCTTACTTTCCTTCGGACGAGGATGGAGGTGCAGGATGGGATTGGCCGCACAACGGGGAAGGGCTTGCGCATGATCACGGTGCATGCAATCACGAAGTTGGGGGCGTTGGCTAAGCTTTGTGATGGGTTTCCGATCGAAGAGGGCTGGTTCAAGGAAACGGATAGCGGCAAGAAGGAAATGGAAGATGAGGAGACAGCAGAGTTTCTGTGGCAGGCTAAGTTGGCAAAGGGCGATTACCACACAGCAATGACCGACTCGATGTTCACGGAGTGGCTTGAACACCGCCTTAGTACTGCGTACGACGCGATCCCTGAGTTCGAAGGCATACAGATGATTCTTGTTCTTGACAACGCCAAATACGACCATGAATTTGACGCGGAAGTCAAAGTGCCGGAAACCAACACCAAGAAGCACAACGTCGATCTGTTGCGTATGTTTGGGGCCAAGTCGATCAGGGTTAGGCGTAAGGAGGGCGAACAGGGCGTTGTTGAGTACAACTTCGAGGTACCGACAGAGCCTGGTTCTTCATTCCCTGCAGGGAACAGGGAGGGCGGTGTAAGCAGAGCGGAGGTAGCAACGGCCACTCGGGAATACATCTGCGTCAATCACCCTGAAAGGCTCGAGGAACGGGTGGTGACGTTCATGAGGAAAAAGGGGTGGGCGTTGATTTGGACGCCGCCCTACATGCCGTCCTTTCAACCAATCGAGCTTTTTTGGCAGCATGGTAAGCAGTACGTCAGCCTTAACTTTTGGTTGAAGCGAAAGATGCGGGAGGTGTGGGTGCAGAGTCGTAAAGGTTGGTTCGGGGACAAGGAATGGCCAGACCAGGAAGGGGGGTGGAAGGCAGCCAATTGTTCGAAGCTGGTTGACCACGCCATTGGAGAGATGAAAAAGTGGGTCAAGGACCGTGATGGAGTGCTTTCGGGTACGAAAGGCAACCTCAACNCAATCGAGCTTTTTTGGCAGCATGGTAAGCAGTACGTCAGCCTTAACTTTTGGTTGAAGCGAAAGATGCGGGAGGTGTGGGTGCAGAGTCGTAAAGGTTGGTTCGGGGACAAGGAATGGCCAGACCAGGAAGGGGGGTGGAAGGCAGCCAATTGTTCGAAGCTGGTTGACCACGCCATTGGAGAGATGAAAAAGTGGGTCAAGGACCGTGATGGAGTGCTTTCGGGTACGAAAGGCAACCTCAACAAGCCGGACGGGTACGATACAGATGATGTGTCGCCCGTGGGTGATGTCGAGGAAGGGGTAGGGGAGCAGATCCAGCAGGAAAGCGCAGAATGGGGTGAAGGCAGCGACGAGGTTGAACCATGATAAGATTTTTTGCAGTCTTGTGATCGATTGCTACTCCCATGCACTGGGTGTGCCATGTTCCAACAGCACACATGTGTGATTACTGTGCGCGGGGGGGTTGGGTCCGTGCTTCCAGCTGCTGCAGTTGTCCTTGGAAAAAATCCAAAATATTCAAATGTCAAGTTTTATCCCGGACGCAGCCTTCTATACGTCAACTGCATCCATTTTTTATCTTCTTGCGTATTGACCGCCTTCGTCATGGAAGCGTTTTGCGCTACTGCATGCCGACAAGAGCTTAAATATGTGAGTTACAGGCCGAGAAGTGGGGATACCAATGTTGGCCAGATGTTCCTGGGCATTTTTTCCGATTTTGAATCTCTGCTCAGGTACACCACAAGCCGTAACTCAAGCAATTTGCAACATTTATGTTTTTTTTTGTTTCATCGTGACCGCCTTTCCCCTATCGTCAATTTGCGCTATCGCATGCTGTGCTGCGCATCGTATTGCGAAACTTACACTCCGAAACGCATATCTTTTGATTTGCTCCTATTAACTGTGTGCCACCGTACGAGTTGAACCGTGGGCGATTTTTGTGGTCGGTGCTGTATCACCAGCTTGGGGTAACCTGAGGTCTAGACTGGGTTCGAAAGTGCTAGAGTTTACACCAGCGTTGTGACAAGAAATTGGGCCGACCAAAGAAAATATCAGGGTTGTCTTCTCACACCGTTTTCACGGGGAAGAAATCTTGATTTTCCCGCCGCGGAAATGTCTTGCCTAGTTTCCGAGATTTTGGGCAGTCTGCCTCGCAAATGGCCCAAACAGCCGAGCCGCCAGCTCGGGCTTCGAGAAAAGTTGCAGCTGCCGTGTCTGTTGGTCGCCTATACTATCTGTTTTGGCAGGGTCGGGCTTCGAACTTTGTCGTTGGAGCAAGTCTCGCAACTCTCCCGAAAGATCCGCACGGAAATCGGATTCCTGTCTCGGAGAGAATCTTGCGCCAAAAGGCCGCCTTTGGACGGATCTTGCGCCCGATTTTTGGCGAACCTGTAGCTCCAATGACAACACTCAGTCGACCCCGCTTTAAGGACGCACATGGTTTTTTCCCGAAAACAAGCGTCCTTAACGCGGCGTTGCGTCCTTACAATTCAGGGAAAGATAGCTCACCATCCCCGGGGCCAATGGAGGCATGCCTTACCTCAAACTACGCGTCTTTTGCTAAGGAAGGGTGTGGTACGAAAAGTCAGCATCGCCGAGACGACTGGAAACCGTTTGTTGACGTCGAATATATTTACAACACTTGAAATGAGATGTACAGCAGTCGGGGGCGTGTTGAAAACGACTGCAGTACACAAGTTTGTACTTGGCCAACTTATGTACTTCATCGCCGGCAGCGGAAGGAGAAAGAAACTCCCCCCGGGTATTTCAATTTCCCCCCGGGGTGTACCAGTTTTCCCACGAGTTCCCCCCGGTGGGGATGTATTTCTCTAATTTTCTGAGTCGATTTTGTTGCATCGCGGAGCACAAAATGCATGATATGGAACGGAAAAACCATTTATTTGCAGATCTGCGCTTCGAGCGAGATTTAGGTGTACCGTTTGTCACTGGAAGGCGGGCCCTTCCTCTTTCTTGGAATCACTTGCGGGACGAGACAAACTCCCTCGGCTGCTGTCCTCCTTGCTGTCTTCTTTCTCTTCGCCTTCGTTGCTCTTACGTTCCTCCTCCCTCTGCTTGTTGAACGCTTGCTCGTAAACCTTATCCATATCAGTTCGCCACTCTCCTGTGTTTAGTTTGGTGTGTGGACCATCATTATTTTGCACAAGCCCCCGGGGGGGGGCTTCCCCACGGTGGAGGGGGCTTCCCCACGGTGTAGCGTTGGAAAAAAAGAAACTACCCCCCCCCCCGG